GCAGTTAAGAGCAATGGCTGGTCTTGAAGAAGACCCAGGTTCAGGTCCTAGCACCTATCTCCATGGCAGCTAACAACAATCTGTAACTCCAGTTCCAGGGGATCTGATGCCCTTTTCTGGTCTCTGTAGGCACTGTGTGCATGCGGTACATTTACATACATGCAGATAAAACACATAAAATAAAAATAAATGAATAAATTAAAGAAAAAGACTAGCTAAGACCACAGCCCCATCAACTTCCTGCCCTACTACACTTAGGGTAAGAGGCTGGGGCAGATGCTTCACCAGGGCAAAGAAGCCAATCTCAAATCCTTAGGCAAAACTCACCCTTTCACTTAGTTCCCAAAGCCCTGAATTTGAATTTTTTTTTTTTGAGGCATGGTCTCATGTAGGTGAGGCTGGACTTGAACTTGTATAGTTAAGGATGACCTTCAACCCTGATCCTCCTGCCTCTACCTTCTAAGCACTGGGATCATAGGCTTGTGTCTCCACAATTAGCCCTTGTTTTGAATTTTTACATTTCAAACATACAGGAATTGACAGTACAGTCCATTCCTACCAGCTTACCAATCACTGAAATTTAACTGGTGTTAACTTTTGAAATGTTTGTTTCAGGTCTCTTAAAACATGAAATGCTGAGGCTGGAGAGATAGCTTAGCGGTTAAGAGCACTGGCTGCTCTTGCAAAGGACCCGGGTTCAATTCCCAGCACCCACATGGCGGCTATGAACCGTCCTTAACTTCAGTTCCAGGGGAATCTAAAGCCCTCTTCTGACCTCCGCAGCATTGCATGACATGGGTGCACTCACATATATGCAGGCAATTCACTCATATACATAAAATAAAAAACAAAAACAAAAACAAAAAACATGAAGTGTAGCTTTCTGCTATGAGCTACAGATTCAGCCTCCTATCCCTCCTGTCCTTCTCCCTGCCCCTGGGCCTCTGTCTCCTCTCTAGTCCCCTAAGAAGCAGCCATACTTTAGAAAGTGATGCATAGTTTTCTCAAGTATTTTTCTACATATTATATATTCATAAACAATTTATGTTTTGTGTTTATTGCTTTTTTTTTTTTTGGTCTTTTTAAGACAGGGTCTCCCTGTAGCTCCAGCTGTCCTGGAACTTACTATGTAGACCAGATTGGACTTGAACTCACAGAGATCTCCTTGCCTCTGCCTCTTGTGTGCTGGGATTAAAGGCATGCGCCACCATGCCCAGCTTGTTTATTGCTTTTTAAAAAAAATATGGGGATAGAACACAAGGCTTTGAGCATGCTACGTAAGTGCTCTACCACTAAGTTATATCTCAAGTCCTCTTTTTAACTTTTTGAGATAGAATTTCACTAAGTTGTCCAGGCTAGCCTTGAATCACTCTGGAACCCAGACAGGCCTTGAATTTGTGATACTTCTGTCTCAGCCTCTGGAGTAGTTGAGATAAAAGTCCTGGGCCTTTAGGCCTGGCTTAATTTATTACTTTAAAATTTTTTTCTAATACATTTATTTATTTAATTTGTGTGTGTGTGTGTGTGTGTGTGTGTGTTTGTAGACACGTGTGCGGTGATCCAAGTGTGGAGGTCAGAGACCAACTTTTGGAATTAAGTTCCCTCCTTCCACCATGTGGGTTCCAGAGATTGAACTCAGGTTGTCAGGCTTGGCAGCAAGCACCTGTACTTGCTGAGCCATCTTGTAGGTCCTTAATTACTTTCAACTGATGTAGTGTACTATAGGAATGAATCAAAATAGATGCAGGTTATAATTCTTAAAATATTTTATTATTTTATTTTATTTGTATGAGTGTATTGCCTGCATGTATGTAAGTGCACCCATGTTGTGCAATGCCCATGGAGGACAGAGGAGGGCATCAGATCCCCTAGAACTGGAGTTACAGCTGGTTGTTAGCCATCATATAGATTCTGGTATTCAAATCCATGTCCTCTGCAAGAGCAGCCAGTGGTCTTAACCACTGAGCCATCTCTCCAGCCCTGGGTTATAATTTTTAAAAAAATCTTTCTCCTAGTCAGGCAGGTGGCACGAACCTATAATTGTAGAATTATAGGAAAGTCAGCCGGATGTGGTGGTGCACACCTTTAATCCCAGCAATCATGGGGCAGAAGCAGGCAGATCTCTGTGAGTTCAGGGCCTGCCTGGTCTACATAGTGAGTTCTAGGCCAGCTGGGGCTACAGAGAGACCCTGTCTCAAAAAGACCAAGCGGGGGGGGGGGGCGGGGATAGGAATTATAGGATAGTGGAGGCAAGGCAATCAAGAGTTCAAGGTCATCTTTTGCTACATAGCAAGTTCAAGGCCAGTTTGAACTATATGAGACTGTCTCAAAATACACCCCCAAACTGAAAAAAAAAAAAACAAGTCCATCTCTTTCCAAATTCTGTGGCAGGGTATACTTTTGCTTGTGCTCCCTGGCTACTTTCCTTTAGGGAGGTTTGGCTATACTGGTAGTGGATAAGAGGTTCCCTTCCCATGTGCTTAGACACCCAGAATCATCCAGTCTACTAACATTTTTACATCTAATGAATTGAAATGGCGCCTTGTTATTCCAATTTTTATGTCTCTGTTTATCTGTTTACTAGTTAAGAGAAGTATTTTTTTTTGTCTTTTTGTCTATTTGAGACAGGGGCTCCCTCTTGCCCCAGCTGGCCTTGAACTCTCTATGAAGACCAGGATGACCTAGACCTCACACAAAGATTCACCTGCCTCTGCTTTCCAAGTGCTGGGATTAAAGGTGTGTGCCACCATGCCTGGCTCTGTCTTGTTTTTCTATTAGTTAATAAATTTTTTGCTTATAATGACTTAATTTTAATTTGTTTTTCATTTTAATGGGATGTATAGTCTCTCCTCCTTTCCATAATACTCCCTGGTACCCTCGTTGAATATTCTGTCCAACGGATCTTCTTTTTCATATTTTATTATTTTTATTTTATGTGTATGAGTGTATTGCCTGCATGTATATAAGTGCACCCATGTCATGCAGTGCCTGCAGAGGTCAGAGGAAGACATCGGATTCCCCTGGAACTGGAGTTACATACAGTTGCTAGCTGCCATGTGGGTGCTTGGAATGGAACCTGGGTCCTCTGCAGAAGCAGCTGGTGCTCTTAACTGTGGAGCCATCTCTCTAGCCCTATCCAACTGTTTTTTAATGCTACCTCTGTCATATACAAGTCACAAGATGTGTATAAGTCTGAATTCTCTTCTCTAATCCCATATTCTGCTCAGGCTGCCATTATAAATTATGACTGAGTGGATGACTTCAACAGATATTTATTTTTTGTAATTATAGGGGCTGGAAATCCAAGATCAAAGTACCAGCAAATCAGGTTTCTGGTGAGAACTCCCTAACTGGAGACAGCTACCCTTCCTCCTACATCTTCATACAGCCTTTTATTTTACCAAATTTTCAGTTCGAAAGGAGTGAGGGTGGCAGGAATTCTAAACAAAGGCTTCATCATCAAATACAGTGTTTATTGAAGATTTGGGTAAATACTCATTACTCAGATAAGGAAATGTCCTGTAGTCCTAGTTTGTCAAGAGCTTTCACTCATCAGTTGAAAACAGTTTTTCCGCAACTTCTTTTTCCTGTAAATATATCAAAGCTAAATCAATAGAATTTGATGACAAACCATCTTTGCATTGATGCTGCTTCACCATGATGTGCTGCTGTCTTACATGGTGCTTGATTCAGTGTGCTAATACCTTGTTGGGGGTTTTTATCTCTGTATTTAAAACTAAGATAGGTTGATGGTTTACTTTTGCTCTGATTTTTTGTTTGTTGAGACAGAGTCTCCCTGTAGCCCCAGCTGGCCTGGAATTTGCTGTGTGAAGCAGGCTGGAATTGATCTCACAGAGAGAGTCACCTGCCTCTGCCTCCAGAGTTCAGAGATTAAAGGCATGCACCAACATGCCTATCTTGATAATGCTTTACTGGAGGATCTTACTCCACAGTCTGTGCTTCTTCTTCTCACATGTTTTTTCTCTATTGGTTAGTGCTACATTCTAGCTAATTTTTCTACACCTTTCAGTTCATTAATTCTCTCTTCAGCTGTGTCTGATCTGGTTTATAACTCATCTGTTGACATTTTTAGTTCAACAACTATATTTTCTATTCTAGACATTAAATTTGGCCCCTAAAAATCTATTCTATCATCATAGTTACCTTATTTTTGTCTGTGATTATTTAAGAAGCATATATAAAAATATATATTGTATATTTTATCTGTGATTATTTAAGCAACATATATAAAAATATTATATATTTTTCCTCCTCTCAGTTCATCTATGATCTCTCAGTCCTAGGGTTCTAATCATTTTATTTTATTTTGATACAGACTCTTGCTGAGTCTAAGCTTCCGAACCATTCTTATTTAAAAAATTATCTTTATTTTCTGTATATATTTTGCCTGCATGTATGTATGTATGTGCGTCACATGTGCACCTGGAGCCCACAGAGGCCAGAAGAGGGCACTGGATCTCCTGGAGTTGGAATTACAGATGGTTGTTAGCCACCATATGGGTGCTGGGAGCCAAACTCAGTTCCTCTCCAAAAGCAGTCAGTACTCTTAACCGCTGAGCCATCTCTCCAGTCCCTCTGAACCATTTCTTTATAAAGGTAAGTATTGGAGACCTGACACCGCTTAAAAATGATTGAAACTTGCTTCATTTCATCTTACTAATTTATATACAGACTGTTTTTCTTCTTCTTTGAATCCTGGAATAATATCCCCAATTAGGTATGTGCCAGGAAAGGGACTAGGAGGAGAGGCTGGGTAGGATACCTCCTCACTTGTAAAGAGAGCAAAGTCTCAGACCTCCTTTAACCCAATGCATAGGTGGGGTTTTTGGAGCATTTTCTGCCTGGTTTCCCTTCCCACTCAGCCTCCCTGTCTGGGCCCAGAGCAGCAGTAGAGAAGGTTAGGCTGACTTTCCACCTGGGAAGAATGTGAGCCCCAACTCCAAGCAGGCCCTCCCTACAAGCCCCTCACTTACAGCAGCCGGCCACAAGATGAAGGGCATGTATCTGTGGACAGCGAAGGTGTTGAGAACTACGAAGAAGATGAAGATGGACACCTCCATAGAGAGGACCAGAATCAAGATGGGGTGTGTGGCTACCGTGTCAAACAGAAACAGTCCAGCGATGAGGCAGCCCTGGATGGAAACACACCTGAGCTGTGGCAAAGGCTCTTCCTGGCTCTGGAGGACCATCCCCACCCCTCACAGGGATTCCAATCCAGCTCACCAAAGTCAGGATCTTGAGTGGGGCATGTCCCATAACCCAGAACTCTCGATTGCTGTCTTTGAATTCCCACTTGTAGCGTCCAAACCCTTTTCTTGCACCCACCTCATCCTTGGGCTCTCTGACTGGCCTTCGTTTTGGAGCGTCTGTCATGGTGGGCAGGTGTTCTCAACCTCTCCCTGCCTACCCTCGCCTGCAGTCCTTAGACAGGGCTGGCTCCAGAGAGAGCCTGGTTGTCTACCGACCTGCTCAAGGGCTGTGTTCAACTAACCGCTGGGGCCAGAGAATTCCAACGCCTTCACCCATTAGGCGCATGCCCACCCTGTCTCTCGTGGACCAGCGTGATCACCTCTGCCCAGCAGAGTACAGACGCACCCGCCCTCCACACAGGAGCCTCCGCTGGGGTCCCTGCGTCATACAGAGCTTCCCTCCTGGTCCTAGTGAGGTCTTCTTTGCAAAGCAGCTCCAGGATTTGTAGCTTTGGGTGGGTCAGGCTGGCAGGAATCCCCAGGGCCTGTCCCTCCCGGCCTCCTGGGGCGGGCTTGCCACAGAAGTGGAAGTGTAACGCGACTTTTATACAAGGCCACAAGAGGAAACAGAAGTGTTGCTGACTTAGCAGCCCTGGCTTTATGGTCACACTGGGCGTAGGAGCTCTGTGATGGTCCCGAGGAGTGATACTACAAAGCGCGAGTCTCTGCCAGGTGCTGAGGAGGGCTGGCTGGCTTCAGCGAAGCTTCTACCTGGATGCAGTGTACCAGGTGGCCCAAGTTTTCATTTCCTTGTTTCTTTTCCTCTTAATCCACATTGCCTTGATGACCAACAGAGCATCAAAGAGACACAGGATTGCTGCCGAGAGGCACAGGGCCTGTCAGACACAAGACCACACACCGGAAGGAAAGATCAGGTTACTTTGCAGTTCAGCTCTATCTCTCAGTCCCATTCTCAACCTGGGAGAGCAGAAGCTGCTGGAGGCTTCCTGGTCCCTGTGATGTACTGCCCTCTTGGCTGCTTATCAGCGGGGCTTGTCTTTCCCGGAGGAAGGGAAACTTGGGGCTTGCTGTCAGTAGTGGCCATAAATCAGTGACTGGGGGAAGCTCACTGGCTCTAGGAGACTCCTGGTAGGGATGGGGGTCCCAAGGAGGCTTCTCAGTGGAAAGGGCTCTAGTGCTGTGTTGGAAGGACAGGAGGGTCCAAATGGGAGGGGGGAACCCCAGAAACTGGGCAGGAGTCTCAGGAATCTATTAAGGCTAAGTTAGACTTTGCAGCTCTGAGTGCCTGGCAGAGTTAAGGTTGGGAGGTGACAGGAGGTCTGGTATAGGAGGACAGGTTTGAGACTCAGAAATCCACATGCAGTGGCTCTTAGACAAAGGGAAAGTGACCCTGGCTGGAGCCGGAAGACCTGGGGGTGGACTGCTGCCAGTACAGGCAAGAATGGATGGAGACTAGGGGGATGTGTGTGGGGGGTGCTGGTAGCACAAAGCTTAGTTGGTGAGTTAGCAGGTGAGGACCACTGGTGATAGCACCTAGTATTCCAGCCTTGGAGGTTTCTCTTTATGGGCACTGGATCCCTGGCTGCTTGATGAATATATCCTATGAGGTCTTGCTCTCAGTGGGGGGATGGAAGGTATGGAGTGTTGTTGTGGGGGGATTGTGGGGGGCCCTATCCCCAGTCCTAAACTCCAGCTTGGCACAATGCGTTGGACCTGAGTAATGCTTACTAACTATGGAATGAACTTAAAAGTCAGGGCTGGAGAGATGGCTCAGCAGTTAAAAGCACTGGATGTTCTTGCAGAGGACCTGTGTTCAGTTCCCAGAACCCACATGGCGGCTAACACGGTGGCGCACGCCTTTAATCCCAGCACTCGGGAGGCAGAGGCAGGTGGATCTCTGTGAGTTCAAGGCCAGCCTGTTCTACATAGTAAGTTCCACAACAGATGGGGCTACAGGGAGACCCTGTTTCAAAAAGACCAAAAAGAAAAAAAAAATTTAAAAAAGAACTTAAAAGTCTTTTAAAAAATTTAACATTTATTTAAAGTGAGTGAATGAATGTGTGTGTGTCTGTGTGGGTCTGTGTGTGTGTGTGTGTGTGTGTGTGTGTGTGTGTGTAGGCCAGAGTCAACCTCAAGGAGTTGGCTATTTTTTCTCCATTATATGGCTCCCTAGGATTGAACTCAGGCCATCAGATTTAGCAGCAAGTGCCTTTACCTGCTGAGCCATCTCCCCTGCCCTAAATCCTTTTTTTTCTGGATTAATTTCTGTCCACATTGTTAAACTTCTTGAATCAAAGTCCCATTTTCCTACTCCCCCTATTGTCCAAACATTTGATCAGCTCTTTCCTGCATTCTTCCAAATGATGTGGATTTGAGGTTCAGTTTGTTGAAGCCTTGTGGCCTAGGACAAAGTAAGTAACTTCAGGAGGATCAGAAATTCAAGGTTATCCTTGGCTACATAGCAAATTGGACACCAGCCTGGGCTAGACACTCTTATTTCTTTAATATATTTTATTTATTATTTTTATTTTATATGTATGAATGTATTGCCTGTATGTATGTGAGAGCAACTGTGTCATGTAATGCTGAGGAGGTCAGAAGAAAGCGTCGGATTCCCCTGGAACTGAAATTAAGGACAGTTAGTAGCTGCCATGTGTGTGCTGGGAATTGAACCTGTGTCCTCTGCAAGAGCAGTCAGTGCTCTTAACCGCTGAGCCATCTCTCCAGCCCCAAGACTCTATTTCTAAAAAAAACCAACAACAAGAAAAAGTTCAAGTGTGGAGATGCCTGGCCTGTTTCAGGGCACACACTGGGTGCCTCAACAGAGGCAGGCTCCCTTCCTCCTTGCACAAGCTGGGTTCCTGACTTGACCTCTCTCACATGATCTCTCCTTATCTCTCTTTTTCTCAATTGTGTTTAAAATACAATTCTGTAGTTCAGAAAATCCAAGTCCTATTTATAAGGAAAATATTTTCTTGCACTATTTCATATGTAGTGTGTATAGAACTTCTCAAAAGTTCTATAAAGCTGAGCGTAGTGGCGCATGCCTTTAATACTAGCACTCTGGAGGTAGAGGCAAAGAGGCAGATCTCACAAAGAGTCAGATCTTTGTGAGATCAAGGCCAGCCTCATCTACATAGTGAATTCTAGGCCAGCTGAGGTTACAGGGAGGCCCTGTCTCAAGAAATACCAAAAAGAAAAGTTCTATAGAAACTTAAAAAAAAATTATTGGGGAAAGCATTTTAGAAGTACAATTTTTCCTAAGTTTGGAGTTTGCACAACATCATATCATTTGAAGTCACTATGAGAAGGGGCTAGGTGTGGTGGCACACACCTTTAATCCCAGCACTAGGGAGGCAGAGGCAATGGATCTCTGTGAATTTGAGGCCAACCTGGTCTACATAGTGAGTTCCAGGCCAGCTGGGCCTACAAGGGAGACCCTGTCTCAAAAAGGGATAGATATAATGCTAACCTTGCAGTTTCCTTTTTCAGACTCCTGAAATATTGATAGCATTTTTAAGAATATATTTTTTTTATTTTATGTGTATGAGTGTATTGCCTGAGCATATATAAGTGCACCCGTGTCATGCAAGGCCTGGGGAGGTCAGAAGAGGGTGTCGGATCCCCTGGAACTGGAGTTACGGATGGTTGTTAGCTGCCATGTGGGTGCTGGGAATCAAATCCGCGTCCTCTGCAAGAACAACTAATGCTCTTAACTGCTGCGCCATCTTGCCAGCCCACTGATAGTATTTTTACTTAAAATGTCTTTGTATTATTTTTATTTATTTATTCTGTATATGTGTATGCATGTGTACCGCAGCATACTCGTGGAGGTCAGAGAACAATCTGTGGGAGTCAGTTCTCTCTTTCCAGCTTGTGGGTCCTGGGAATGGAACTCGCCGGTTGTCGGGCTTGGTGGCAGGCACCTTTACCCACTGAACCATCTCACTGGCTCCAGAATACTGATCTTAAAGGGAAACATGAAGGTCTCAACTTACCCCTCCAACATGTAATAAACTCTTTCTTCCTTTTTCTTGAGTCGTCATTATAGAAACTGCCGAAAGGAAAACAGCTGAAATAAGACTGTTGATAAGATCCTGGAATACAGAGTTGAACATGGTCAACTTTACACGGAAAAGTAAGTTCAAAGTACTACACTGCTAAGTTCTCCTCTAAGGATGGACACCTTTTGAACACTTTCTCTTTGATTGATAGGCACCCTCAGGCACATAATTATATTATATTTTCAGAGATGTGAATTCATATGACTTAAGGGCTCACATATGACTTTGTCTAAAGAAATAGGTTTAATTTCATTAGAACATCATTAGATGTTTAACAACTTTTTCCATTTGTCTTTCTTTTTTTTTTTTTTTTTGGTCTTTTTGAGACAGGGTCTCCCTGTAGCTGAACTGGAACTGGCTATGTAGACAAGGCTGGCCTCAAACTCACAGAGATCCACCTGCCTCTGCCTCCCAAGTGCTGGGATTAAAGGCATGCGCCACCACGCCTGGCCTTTGTCTTTCCTTTGTAAAATATTTATTTTTATTCTATGTATATGAGTATATTGCCTGCATATATGTAAGTGCACCTGTGTCATGCAATGCTGGCAGAAATCAGAAGAGGGCTTTGGATCCCCTGGAACTAGAGTTAAGGTTGGTTGTTAGCTGCCATGTGGGTGCTGGGAATAGAAACTGGATCCTCTGCAAGAGCAGCCAGTGCTCTTAACAGCTGAGCCATCTCTCCAGCCCCTCCCTATTTGTTTTTCTTTTTAAAGTTTTGTTATTTTTATTTTATGTATATGAGTGTTTTGTCTGCATGTAAGTACACCATGTGTATGCAATGCTGGTGGAGGCCAGGAATGAAGGATCCGCCAGATTTACAGATATTTGTAAGCCATCATGTGGGTGCTGGGAACCAAACCCAGGTCCTCTGGAAGAACAGCCAGTGCTCTTAACAGCTGAGCCATCTTTCTAACCCCTCCATTTTTTTTTTTTTGCTCACTTTCTTTCTTTCTTCTTTCTTTCTTTCTTTCTTTCTTTCTTTCTTTCTTCTTTCCCTCCCTCCCTTCTCCTTTTCTTTGTCTTTTTTGAGACAGAGTCTCCCTGTAGCCCCAGGTAGCCTGGGAACTTACTATGTAGACCAGGCTGGCTTTGATCTCACAGAGATCTGCCTGTCTCTGCCTCCCAAATGCTGGGATTAAAGGCATCAGACACTTTGTCCAGCCACTTAGCCAATAGTGGTCCAGGGGCTGGTCCCAAATGACCCTCCATACTTTGACTTTTTTTTTTTTCAAGTCTTATATTTTAAGGTAAATTCTTCATTCTATTCCATGACACATTAGTTTTAATGTAAATATAAATTTTTTGGGCAGGGAGGGAATAAAAATTTTGGATCAGCAGTCCATTGACTTAATGCAATTCCTAAATCCACAGGTAAAATGGATACTCTGGAAGCTGGGTAACATTATTATGTGAGTTCACGTATCCTGAGAATGCACAAACCCATCTGAGGAGCAGCCCTGATTTTCTAGAGTGAATGAGCTTGCTGTTGATGTTTGCTTTTTCCTCAGACATGGCTAGAATTAAGTCTCCCCTGACAGCTGCCAGTTCTTTGTGTCTGAATACAGCCCTGGGTTCTTCAGCTGCTTCTTTGTGTGCTGAAAGGGTGAGGATGAATGGGTGGGTTTCTCTCAGAGTCTGTCCCTGGGCTGTTATGGCAGAGTAGTAATGGAGCCAATGGCACCACCATGTCACTAGGGCCCAAAGCCCAGGGTGATTATACCATGTTTGTGTGTGTGTGTGTGTGTGTGTGTGTGTGTATATGTGTGTGTGTGTGTGTGTGTGTGTGCATGTGGAGGCCAGAGGACAACCTTATGTGTTGTTCCTAATAACACTTGCTTGTTTTTTTCTATGTGTGTGTGTGTGTGTGTGTGTGTGTGTGTGTGTGTATGTATGTATACATGATTGGGTAAGTATATACCTTGGCACATGTGTTGAGATCAGAGGACCACTTTGGGAGTCAGTTTTCTCTTTCTACTATGTGGATCCTGGGGATTGAGCTCAAGTTGTCTGAGATATCTCACTGACTCTCACCTTAAGTAGGCTAGGCTGACTGGACAGGGAACTGCCTGTTTCTGCCTCCCTGAGCTGACTGCCAGAGAGCTCCTAGGGATCTGTCTTTGCCTCACTAAGATTATTCACTAAGATTACTAAGCTTGTGCCATCACACCCAGCGCTCTCTCTCTCTCTTTCAAGACAGGGTCCCTGTAGCCCCAGCTGAACTGTAAGTCACTATGTAGACAGCTGGCCTGGATCTCACAGAGATCTACCTGCCTCTACCTCCCAAGTGCTGGGATGAAAGGTGTGGGCCACCATGTCCAGCTCTCTCTCTCTCTCTCTCTCTCTCTCTCTCTCTCTCTCTCTCTCTCTTCTTTCTTCTTTCCTTCTCTCTCTCTGCCTTCCAAGTGCTGGGGTTAAAGGCGTGCGCCACCACGCCTGGCTTTCTTTTTCTTAACATGGGTTCTGGAGAGCAGACTCAGCCCCTACCAAATGAACTACCTCTCCAGCCCCTTCTTTTTGGTTCTGTGAGACAAGGTCTCAGTATGTAACCCTTGCCAGCCTGGAAGTTATTATGTAGACCAGGCTGGCCTGGAACTCATAAACATCTGCCTGCCTCTGCATCCTAAGTGTTGAGATTAAAGGTATGTGTCACCATGCCTGGCTCCAGCCCATTCTTTGGGTCTTGATGACTTAACTGGTAGGGGCATCTTGTTTGGGGATGTTAGCCTGAACACAGAAAGGAGCCCATATGCAGTGAAGGGAGCCATCATGACCTCCGTGGAGCTCTTGAGGGTGCCAAGTGGTTCCCAGAGTATCTCATTTACCCCTTGAAAGGCAGCCTGTGAAGGATTGCTATTGCTATGCATTTCCTTAGACAGTGTAAAAACTGCTTAGGGAAGTTTAGTACCTTGTCCAAAATTGACTTCTAAGGAGGGGAGTCAGAAATCAACTCATTACTGCTTCCCCTCAGGAACACCCAAAGAACACAGTGAGGAACTATCACTCTAGAAGTGTAGCAGCCAATCCATTTCTGTCATTTTCTGTGGAAGAGTTCTGGAAGGGTCAAATGATGTGGAACAAATAAGTTGAGAGTGTGTTTTTTGGTTTGTTTACTTAAATTACTGAGCTTTTTGCCTGATAATTCTTAGATGTGTGGATGTATGACCTACGGTTATTTTTTGTTTTGTTTTTGAGACAGGGTCTCACTATGTAGTCCTGGGTGGCCTGGAACTTGCTTTGCAGATTAGGTTGGCCTTGAACTCACAAAGATCCCCCTGCCTCTGCCTTCCTGAGCATTGGGATTAAAGGCATGTGCTATCTTGCCTGCTCAACCTGCTCATTTTTTTATTTTTTTAATCTTGTTTTATTTTATTTTAATGTGTATGAGTGTATTGCCTGCATGTATGTAAGTGCACCCGTGTTGTACAGTGCCCAAGGAGGTCAGAAGAAAGTGTCAGATCCCCTGGAACTGAAGTTAAAGACGCTTGTCAGTCGCCATGTGGGTGCTGGTTCCAGGTCCTCTGCAAGAGCAGCCAGTGCTCCTAACTGTTGAGCCATCTTTTCTTTCTTTCTTTCTTTCTCTTTCTTTCTTTCTTTCTTTCTTTCTTCATCCATCATCCATCCATCTATCAATCTATCTATCTATCTATGTATCTATCTACCATCTCTCTATCATCTATATCATCAGTCATCCATTTATGTATCATGTAGGCATCTGACATCGATCTAACTTTCTATTTATCACCTCCATGACCTATCTTCCATCCATCCATCCATCCATTCATCCATCCATCCATTTGTCTATGTATCTATTAATGTACCTAATCATCTTTCACTCT